GAAGCATTTGCCGAAAAAACCGATGCCGATAGCGACAAAAACTGCGGGGAACTATGCAAAAAATGCATCTTCGAACGGCCAGCCCGTACGTTGGCCAATTAAAAATTAATGTGTTCATCAGCATAGCCACTCATACATGGGATTGTCTGTGTTGCTTAACGGCGTTTCCGTCACTGACAGGCAGTGTTGATCTTCTCCGGTGACTGAGCCGACAAATATATGTTAAATTCCAAAAGCATGAGGGAACGAAACGATGTCAAGACCGCCAGCGGACTGACCATCCCGGGATATAGCATTACTCAAAGCAACAGGGAAAATTATCGGTCTCCATCTGAGTATTACCAGTCTACAGAGGTTTTTTCTCACGTTTTTTATGTCATAAAACTTCCCCCTCAATAAAAGATGTCCATATGAGTGTTCTCCCCCCTCCCCCGGCCCCCTCCCCCACCTCATCATGGTGCAGTAACCCTTAACACTTATCACAGTGTGTTTCTCATGAACTGCCTCAGCACTGAATCTAGCATATCCCTGCGGAACGAAGTGCAATAACAACAAACATTCGATCGTCGATATCACAGTGTAGCAGCCAAATGCTTAAGTCTACAGGAAAAATCAAAAAACAACAAATTTTATTTAATTAAAAACAGCACATCTGCCCCAAAAACATTGAGACCTGGCTTGATCAAAAATAAATTCACGAATGAGATAAAAAATCCACATTTAAAAGAAAAAAAAAAAAATGATAAAAAAACGCGGAATTAAGACAACTACTAAAACTGTGCTTGGCTCGGCTCGGCCAGATTGGGAGGGGAGAGGGGGAGTTGTAATGACGGTGGGTGGACGGGGTCAAGGGGTACAGGCGGGAGAAGAGGGATGAGGGTCAAGGAAAGTGGTTTAGGTTCCTCAGTCGTAACGGAGGGAAGGGACGGAGTTATTGACTGGGAAGAAGTTGAGATCTTGCCTGGAGGTAGGAAATGGGGACAGAGCACGGTTTATTACTGCGAGAGGGGGACTACATCCCAGGTGTTTTTAGGCTCAGTATGAAATTTTATGGTGCGGGGGGAAATTTGCAATCTTGAACGTGACGCCCAGGGCCTCCTCACTTAAATAAAAGAAATCCCGTCACTACGATTTTCGCAGATGATCAAAGATGAACTTAAAAACCCGAAAAAAAAAACTATGAAGTGCGAGCTTAGCTCAGTTTTAGTAGTCGCCCAAAGGTGATGAAGCGCTACGAAAAAGAAACGTTCAATATGAGAGGGGGAAAAGCCTAATGGACCGGGGAAATCTTACATCCCATGAATAGTAATAATTTCCCCCCCCCCCTAATAATACCCCGCGCCCTCCTGTTCGTATTAACCCTTGTTCAAACAAGGGTACTATAGCCCCAGTCGAAGTAAAGTAGTGCCATACCGAGGTACCTTTTCGCGGGACTGATGCTTGCAGTTGGAAAAGTGCCAAAAAAGATTAAGCATCCTGCAAAAAATGGCTCAAAATTCTCAAAAACGGCAACAATCGATTCTGGGCATGAAATGCTTCAAAAAAAAAACGATAAAACTCCAATAATTTCACGGAAGGGCAGCCAGAAACAATCTCATTCGACTGTAATAAACTATCACTCGAGTTCAAAAAACTGAGGGAAACGGAACTGATGATGATTAAACGGAAACAAAAAACAAAAAGGAAGTTTTAGAAAAATTTGCTAAAAAAGAAAAAAAGATGTGAGATTAAACAATAACAGTAGAATACGAGATTATTCATTTTTTTTTTTTTTTTTTGAAAAAAAAAGTTTTATAAAAAAAGGAAAAAACATCCAGGATAAAAAAGTGATCATTCCTTAAAAAGTACGGTCGACCGAGTGTCTATGTCCCATATTTTATTGCTAATTCATTGGAATTTGTGTATCTACGTGAATGAGCCAAATTTGAGCTATTGTAATTTA